AAGAGGCTTCACGGCAGGAGGCCTTCATTTGAAAAAATAAGAGCTGGTCTTTTTGGCTGTGCCTCCAATCAGCCTAACACCCAGATTGCTGAACAGGGAAAATGCTATCCCCCTACACACATGTAGGGCTTGGGCTCGGAGGAGTTGAATTGGTTGCTGCGAGAGCTGTTGCAAGAGGAATGCTTTGTTTTCCTTACATCCCCTACACCCCTTGATGAGAAGCATCCTATTTAGTCCTGGTATTTAAAGGCAAGCAGGGTGGACAGTCTGCCCTGGCTCTGTCCACTGGCCATTGGAGCTGGTAGAATCCCCTGCTTCTACCTAGAATTGGGAGGGGGGGCATTTGTAGGAACAACACCTCATTCAAGTCCACTGTCTATCGGGCATTCTTCCAGGACAGCGGTTTGATCCTCTCTTGCTTTAACTCACTGGTTCTCTTCTACCTTGATCAGTTCTTGAAAACATCTAGTCATGGGGGGGGGGGCACGAAGGGGGACTCCTTTTGAAGCTCAGAGTCTTGCTCATGGTCCTAGCTTTGTCCTAATTCGTAAAGATCAGGACATCTGTGCCCATGATCTCTTTAGAACTTAAAGATTTAAGAGGTAAGGGTTAACTCGTCCAGCACTGATCCCCTGCAGGCTGGTTTCCTAGAAAATAAGATGGACTCTAAGAAAGTTCCAAGGAAACCAGTTAGGCTCATTGCTTTTAAGGAAATCAATCCTGACCTATTGCAAAGGCTTAGGCCCCAGTCCCTCTCTCCTAACAGGGGAGAGGTTGATGCTCCCCTGACAGTGATAGCCTGCGTGGGAAATCTTGCTATTTTATGCAATATCCTATGGCTACCACCCTAGGTACAGATCTCAGCCCCCATGCTTTTCCTCCACCCCCTTTGCAGATTGTGCATGGGAGGGAGTCTGTGACCTCAAAGCCTAGATGCTGAGCTGGCAGAATATGGCTGGTTATCAAGGCTCTGCCACATCATATTGCTATTCCGTCTGGAACCTGATCACACCAAGAGTTGAACGATACTTCCCTGAAGATTCAGCATCTAATGAAAGGGCAGTGGGGGACCAGCACTCCTGCTGCCGCTCCTGTCTCTGGGAGCTGTCCTTAAGCAATGCTGCTCCAGCAGGCCTGCTGTGAGCGCTTCTGACCAATTACCTGGTTAGCATGGCTGCTGTCCCAGCAAGCTGAGTGTCCATCCAGGGCCAGGCCATGGCCTCCTGGTAACAAGTCAGGAGACTGGAAGTAGATTAAAGGCCAAGAATGGAGAGAAAGAGTCTGCTGGTGGTGCTGTGATCAGCCTTTAGGATTGCCAGTTAGTGACCAAGAGTCAATCCAGTGTGTCTCCAAACACTACCCTTCTACTGGTGCGCGCTGGGCCCTGGCAAACCACACTGACTCACACTATTTAGAATCTGTCTGGGTCAACACTAATTCTACCAGTAAGACCTGAGCAAGCTAACCAAGATAATGCTGTCTTGCCTCAGTTGCGAGGAGAACTTGAGATCAATGCTGTAGATCCTGGTTTGCCTTAATCAATCCCTGGGCTTTGGTAATGCACAGTAATGGCTTTCTGATATAGATGGTGTGCACTCCCTAAGCTGTTCCAATAATGGCTCCCCCCTGCTCATCTTCCATGATATCACCCAACATCTATTTCTAATCCTCCTCCTGATCTCCCACAGGCAAGTCCAGACTCAAAGCCCATATGGGTTGGAATAGAAGAGGTTGATACCAGAGTCAGAGATGATAATTAGAAGCTACCCATTGGAATTGGGGGAGGAGTGACAGGACAAAAAGCAGGCAAAAATTAAAGGTTAATTTGTCCAAGTCTGATGTCCCTCCATGCTAATCTCCTACAAAAGAGACTGGCCTTCTGCAGGGCTCCACGGAAACCAGCTGGTCCCTAGTACTAAGTCCATTAATTTGGTCAAAAGTAAAGTTTGGACTCAGATTCTAAATCATTGGAAGGGGCAGAGAAAAATGTTCTGGTACTTGCTCAACTATAAACACTGATGTGGTCAACACTGCTCTAGCTCCTCAGCTCCCAATAAAGCTGCAAGGCCTGTACCCAGTTCCTTGATCATGTCAGGGACAGGTTTGGGGCTGCATCTGATCTCTAATGCTGACCTGGCAGGAAAGGATCGAAGCTAAGGTTCTGCTATATCATGGTGTTTTCATTGTCCTTGCCCGGGAAGAAGCCAGTGCTTCCCTAATCCTGTCTTTTAAAAAGCCCCCTCTCTCCTCAGGACTGACACCTGGCCCACTAACCCTCTGAATGGGCATATCTCCTATTGATCAGTGTCTGAGAGCTTTCCCCAATGCTCTAGACATGGCATGAATGCTCTCTGCCTCTTTGTCCTGTTTGCATGAAAAAAGTCCTTACAAATAGTTCACAATTCTGACTGAAGATATAACCACAGATTTGCACAAGTGTTTGGCAGCCCATGACCAGTCCATGTCTGCCACTCCAGCTACATTCAAAATACCCGACCTGAAGAATGAAACCGCCGGCCCTTGAGCCAATGGAGATCAGGCACACTGTACAAGAGGGCCCCTCTTTAGCAGCACCGGGGGTTAGAACCTGTCTGCTGTGCTTAATCTGGCCAGGAGGCTCTGGGTGAGGCTCTGCTCCCATATGTGCCACTGGGCTAAACACTGGCCCTGACGGTACTCAGGTGCCCAGACCCTGTGACAATGGCCTCGGCTCAAATTCGTTTGCTCTCTGGTTCCTTGAGGGTGCTGGAGCCATGCCTTGGACTGCAGCCTGCTCGGTTGGGCCCTGACAATCCGCCTTTTGCCATCTGCCAGCTGGTACCCTGCATCAACCTGAATGGGCACCCCTGGAATCAGGGTGCTGCCACCTGCCCCTGAGCACAGCTGCCGCCTAGCTGTTGCTGTGGGGCCTCCATTAGTTTGTCCAGACCAATCAGGTCAGATATGCGGAAGCTACACCATTGTCACCTCAGTGGGAACCCTACAGCCAGGTGAGTCCCCATTCCACTCCTGCCACATATTTTTGATATCTCTACTTTACCCCCTTCATGAAAATTCTACCCCAATATAAAAGCTACACCAATAATTACACCATTGCTGGGTACGGTACATAACCAAAGGCAGTCTCTAGAATTTCCATCAATACCAACTCAGCCACTTTACCCATCAGGCAGTCAAGGCATGCTTCTCAGGGCCTATGAATTGATTAAGGCCATAGAAAAATAATTCAGATCTGAAAAAAAGTAGTTGCAAAATAAAACAACACAACCTGAAGATAAGTTTATAGTCAAAATATTCTATTTACTATGGAATTCTGTTACATGATGGGGCATCTAAATGTAAGCCAGCCAACGACCTGCTCTCAGGGCAACCCCACCCTGATCACATTTCCCAAACGCATCCTCACTCTCAGCCACTAAAATGATGTGGGCAACCAGGATGCCATGGTTACTGATCAAGATTACTAGGCGCTTCAATATTTGTTGAATGAGTAAATGAATGAATGAATGAAGCAATGAATAAATCCTCCAATAGAAGAAATACATTGAAAGATTAATTTTTTTATTTTTTAAATAAGTTACTTTTAATTTTGCAAGATGAAAAAGTTCTGAAGTCTGTTTATATGATAATGCGAATATACTTAACACCACTGAACTTAGAAACAGTTCAGATGGCCAATTTTGTTATATAGTTGTTGTTTGTTTGTTTGTTTTTTACCACAATAAACATTTTTTTTGAGAAATCAAATCAAATATTAAAAATCAGAAATAATTTTTTTAGAAAAATTCAGAATATATTTATTGGTAGCTATCTGAATCTTATCAGTCCACTCTTTTAAGTTTTCATAATATAGCCCTAACTTACTTACCCCTTATTTTCTGATATTATATCTTATATCTCTTGTAACTTGTTTTGGGACCAGAAATTGACAGTTTCATTATTTGATTTGTCATCATAGGTGACAGAACTTGATGGCTTCAATGATAAAAACAAACCAAAAAGCAATTTTTATTTTATTCATTTGGGGGGTTCCTATAGTTGACAGCAAAGTGCAGCATTATATTTTAGCATATGATCTTCAGAAACTTTTAGAATTAGCTCATTATAGAAGTAAAGCAATTATTTGTTTGTGTAGAGCAGGGGCTACTTGCAACAGGCTCTGAAGCTAGCTGACTAATGTCAGTTCCAGCACTAACTAGCTTTCCCTCATTGTGCCACAGTTTCCTCATCCTCAAAATGAAGATGCTCTTTAAAAGCTTTAAAAAAGTATTTGTCTCACTTGTGAAATGGGAATAGTAATTTTTAAAAGCTTAAGCAAAAATATCACTTTGAATCTTAGTTTATTTAAACAAGAACTTACCCTATTTTTACAGATTAAAAAACATAAAATACTTTTGTCTTCAGATATATTTTCTATCCATTATCCTTACATAAATAATTGTAACTCTTTAATTTCTACTTGCAGTCCTTATTAAACCACCATATAAAATATGTTTCTGACAATATTTTGTTGTTTTAGACTTTGGCTTGCCTTAAGATAACATTGCTAGCTATGAAGTTATTTTTAAAAAGAACATTTCTTTCAGAAATTACTATAAAATCATGATGAGTCATATCTGAGTTTTTTTAGATATTCTTTGTTTTTTGTATAGGGGCACTTGGAAAAATCCCCATTTCCACACATGAGAAATCAAATTAAAATGAACAAAGAGAGCACTAAGAAAGGAAAAACAATTCAAAATGGTGCAGCATGTTTGTGAATGAAGGATGCATTGGGGGTGGGGGAAGCTTTCTCTTTGTGATGCTGCTGGGGCAGAGGTAAGACGCAAGCAACACTGAAGGTGAGTCCATAAGTCACACCTTTGCTTTTGAATCCCAATAACTTATATTTTTATAAAGCCTTTTATAAAGGTCTTTTTGTCAACCCCCACATGCCTTCTGATTGCCTGGACTCTGGATCCTCCAAGGCACCCAAAGCATCCAGGCCGATGGCCACTCACCATCTTCCTCAAATAGAAGTCCCATGTGTCCATGTGCCTCGGCTTCTTTCTTCCCACCGTCAATTTTGATCATTTGAGCAATCTCATAACATCTTTTGTAGAAGTGGTTCCTCACCCACTTGTCTTCAGAATTATTGAAGTAGCAGGCCAGAGCATACAAGTTATCATAGACATCTTCAAAAAGTCCTTCAAAGAGAGAAACACATCATAAGCTGCATTAGAAAAATGTCTCATGACATCCTTTCACATGGCAAACCAATACAGGGACATTTTTGTTTTTCCTTTAAAATATGATTAACTACATTTAAAACTTGAAATGCAAAAGTTAATGTATATTAGCTATTAAAGTAGTTGCATTAATTAAAGAATATGCATATGAGAAAAGCAACAAAAAATCTTCCCCAAAACTTAGCACATGTTAGAAATGGACATACCCTTTGGTTAAATCACTAGATTTTATATATAAAACAAAAGACAACAACATATAGTAGCAATGTGCTCAGTGCTTTCAGAAGAAATGAGTATAGATTACCACTAAAAACTTTTCTCACAAAATAATTAAAAAGTAAATACAGAGAAAGCAAGGTTTCTTAACTTACGGAAAAAAGATAATGTAAATGAAGAAAGCTGATAGAATATGAACGTGGCAAGGTTTTTCACTCAGAAGAAAAACAAGCAGGAGGCTTATAAGAAAAAATCAAGAATGAGTGGATTAAAAAACTGTGGTACATCTACACAATGGAATACTACACTGCGATGAAAAAAGAAGGAGTTCATACCATTTGCAACAGCATGGATGGACCTGGAGAGCATTATGCTAAGCAAAATAAGCCAGGCAGAGAAAGATAAATATCACATGAGCTCAATCATTTGTGAAATATAATGAACAACATAAACTGATGAATAAAAACAGATCGAGAGACAAAGAAGCATCGATCAGAGCGTCAAACCTCAGAGGGGAAGGTATGGGAGGGTGGGAATAAGGGGAAGAGATCAACCAAAGGACTTGTATGCATGCATTTAAGCCTGACCAATGGACACAGACACCAGGGAGTTGAGGTCATGAGTGGGGGGAGGGGAAATCGGAGGATAAGGATACATACCTTAATCAATCAAGAAAAAAAAAATGACTCAATAAGTTCCATACACTTTCTAGCAATGTTTCCAGCCATGACTTACCAGCAACACTAAGAAAGAGTGGATTGCTATGCTTTTTTTTTTCTATGAGTACCTTTTCCTGTTGAAAATGCATTAATACTAGTCATCCCTGTCACTCAAACAGTATTAGTTTATTAGTTGTTAGTGTGTTAAAGCTACCCTTTCTCCTGAAGTGGCATCTGACCTATTTGTACTAAAGAAAAAAAAAAGTGTATTAATCCTTTGTGAATCAGTCTTATAAATCCCACTGTCATCAATCATAAATTTGAATCAAAACATCATGTGTTTATAAATTGTGTCTCAATTCTGTAAACTCCAACCTATTGGTGAATCTGGACAAATTCAAAATCATTATGTCTTTTTGCCTTTGTGCAAAAAGCACACTTGCAAATATGTGGTAGCCCCTGGATTACCTTTCCAGGGATTTTAAAAACACACAATCATTATTATTCGCAGATATATTCCTGAAAAGATTACAAATGTAAAAAATATTTATAGATTGCCCACAAGCATTCCTGTAAGATTAAAGTTGAATCGCTGAGAAAACTAAGCTGACTAGAACTGTACATAAGTCACTCCAATGTTCCAAATGAAATTTCTAAAACCAAAGTCATTCCTTTACATATATTGCTTCATAATTCCATGGGAAATTAGATTGACCTCAAAATAGGAATTATATCTAAAAATAAAAGTAAAACAAAAAAGTTTTCCCTGTCAGCCTCTTTTTGAAGGAGATTCCGGAGAGCCATCCTGCAGCAGCACAGAGAAAAAGTGGAGACTAACCTGAGGCAGTGGGTGGGTGATGAAGGCTTGGCAGGTGAAAGGGGGTTAGAGAGGCAAAGGGGGAAAAAGGGGACATATATAATATTTTCAACAATAAAGATTTATTTATAAAAATAAAGAAAGTCAAGTGTAAATAATGTTTGAATTATCTATTGATTCGGTTGCCCATTGTCCTTATTGTCATTTCTTCTCTAGCCCCATGGGGCACAGAGCCATAATCATAATGTTACAAATGGTACAGAGATTACTCACAACAGGTGATATAAGAAACATTATGAGGGACAAAGAAACACTTTAATAAATGGAAAATAATCCAAAAAGCAATAACTGGCTTACTTTAAACACTTCTTTGCTAGAAAACAGAAAATGTTTTGTAAAATAATTTAAATAAGTCTAGGTTCCAGCTCTGTAAGTCTTAAGAGACATAACTGACCCCAAGATGGCTATTGTTAGTGTCACAGGTTTGATAAAATGAACTTCATGGTAACACTAGAGTGACAATCTTTCCAATGAGAAGAAATATGAATGCTTAGAGATATGCTACTTGAGGGTAAATGTCTCAGATCCTACAACCATATGCAATGGAATCTTGAGGTATTATTAACAGATTTCTATATATTACATGAAGTGTGTGTGTGCACATGTGCATGTTTTAAGATTTAGGATTAATCCAAGTTAGTAAGAGTGAATGTGAATACTCCTAACCCATTTCCTGGAACAGTCTTAACTCAAGTAACAATTTTCTCCCAACAAAATTCATGTGTTAAATGTGGGGGGGAAAGTATACTAAATTTTAAAAAGAACATATGAATGTTTTATATGTCCTGCAATGGAAGCATTTCAATAATATTTGTTGCAATAATTTTAATTTTCTCTATTTCAAACAGGCAAAAGCCACTGCATTTTGATGGAGATAATCCTATTAAAGAGTAATTTTGGGCAAGAGGTAAGTTTGTTCCATTTAACAAATGCAAACTTGGTTACTATGGATATATAATAGACAACCCAGTAAAGAAATATTTATTTTCATCATTTATACCATGTATATAAGATATTGGTTATTATAAAATTTGGACTGCTAATTTTTGGAATTGGCGAAACATTTTTACTTAATGTATAGGTACTTTTTTTAAATAAAAGATAATCATTTAAAATGTTTTCTACCTTAAAATAGACTATTTAACATTTTTAGTTTCCTTATCATTACAAAATGCTTTATGATAAGTTTCTCATATTAATGACACTTTCTGAAGTGATGTATTTGACTCATGTTTATTCTACTTAAATGAAAGCCTCTATTTAAAGCCATTAGTGAATATGATGAAAAAAAATGACCAATGGGCAAATTTAATCTTGATCAATTTCATTTTCAGTGTAAATATCACTTCAGAATTTGTGGCTGATATTAGTATGTAGGTTTTTTTAGAATAGCATTTTTTTATTTATAAAAGTTAATTTCTAGAGAAATTATATGTAAATCATATTTTAAAAATTTCCCAAGTATTCTATTTTAAAAGTCAATTCTAAGTTAAATGCTTCTCATAATACAAATAATCATCTCCTATCTACACACACACACACACACACACACACACACACACACACACTAGTCACTTATGGTGGCGGTGATAGGATTTTTGTGTAACTCGTATTTGTAAGTTAGGTCACAACCTGATGAGAAATTCATATTGACTGCTATGGAGGTTCAAAGACTTCTTGCTATCTTCTTTTTTTAAAATTTAATTTAATTATTTTATTTTATTTATTTTTTTATTTTTTAGAAATCTTTATTGTTCATATTATTACAAATGTTCCTCATTTCCCCCCCCTCCATTGCTACCCTCCACCAGGTTCCCACCCCACCCTCTGCCCTTTCCCTACCCCCCATTGTCCTCATCCATAAGTGCACAGTTTATGTTCAGTCTCTTCCCACACCTCCCACTCCCCTTTTCCCCGAGAATCTTCAGTTCACGCCCCTTCCATACCTCTGATTCTATTATATTCAACAGTTAATATTGTTCATCAGATTTTTTAATTCCCTTGGTTTTTAGATTCACTTGTTGATAGTTACGTATTTGTTGTTCATAATTTTTATCTTTATTTTCTTCCTCTTCCTAAAGAACCCCCTTCAGCAATTCATATAATTCTGGTTTGGCAGTGATGAACTCCTTTAGCTTTTTTTTATTAGTGAAGCTCTTTATCTGGTCTTCGATTCTGAGTGATAGCTTTGCTAGGTAGAGTATTTTTGGCTGTAGGTTCTTGCTATTCCTAACCTTGAATATTTCTTGCCATTCCCATCTGGCCTGCATGGTTTCTGTTGGGAAATCAGCTGACAATCGTATGGGTGCTCCTTTATAGGTAACTACCTGCTTTTCTCTTGCTGTTTTTAATATTCTCTCTTTGTCTTTTGTTCTTGGGATTTTAATTATGATGTGTCTTGGTGTGATCCTCTTTGAGTTCCTTTTGTTTGGGGTTCTGTGAGCTTCCTGGACTTGTAAGTCTAATTCTTTCACCAGGTTTTCTGTCACTATTTCTTTCAATATGTTTTCGGTATCTTGCTCTCTCTCTTCTTCTGGGACCCCCATAATTCTGATGTTGGTTCGCTTGAAGTTTTTTCCATTCTGTTTTTAGGACTCTGTATAATATTTTTTATTTCAGAGGATGTATTCTTTATTTCTAGTTGATTCCTTATTATTTTTTGTTGATCCCTTATTATTTCTAGTTGATCCCTTTTCATATCCTCAAAGGTCTTGTTTATTTTATTGGCCTTTTCTAGGAAATTCTTGAAAAACCTTATAAGAGTGGTTTTAAACTCTATATCCAGTCGCTTTTTGTCCTCCATTTCTTTCGTTTGTGATATGTTTCCTTGTCTTGGCATTTTCGCAGCTTCCCTGAGTTGGTAGCCTTAAAAGTCTCTGTGTTCATCTTGGATGGGGCAGAGTTTCAGGGTGGAGCCTACTGCCTTGACTTCTGTCAGCCCCGCCCTATGAGGCTACTGAGTCTCAGTGTTCCTGTGTCCTTAGGTACTCGCTGCAAGCACCTCTACGAGAAAGGTGCCCTCGAGTTTCACCTGCTACCAGACAGTCTAGTCTCTCCCCCAATGAGCCCAGAACTCGGGTTCAGTTCGGTTGGAAGTGGGGTTGGAAGTGGGGTTCAGAGGAGTCTGGAGCTTTTGTCTCCTTCCTGTTATGGTAATCCTGTGGCACAGTCAACACTCCGTTCTCTGTGAGCAATTAGCGCACCTCCGGGATTGCCTTTCATTGCTCCCCTGAGGTTCCGCCTTACAGTCCAGGCTCCCTCCTTATGTGTCTGGGTCCCCAGGGTCTAGCCCAGAACTGGGGTTCAGCACAGTCCGGGACTTTTATCTCCTTCCCGTTAAGGAACACCAGCCTGGCACTCAGCCTCCTCCTCCTCTCCGGCTCCATCCTCTCCCCCGTGTACAACGTGTCTCCATACCTTAGGCTTTTACAGCTCCTCTGACTTTCCTTCTAGTTTTCTCTTTCCTTCTCATTGTAGAATTTCCAGTCAGTTGACCTTCCTGCAGTTCTGGGCAATGTCCATCTTGTATTTTAGTTGTATTTTATTGAAATTGTTGTGTGAGGCTGCAGTTAGGTGCTTACCTATGTCGCCATCTTGGTTTCTCTCCCTTGCTGCTATCTTCTGATGCTGTTTCCATGGCCCCAACAATTTCCCCCATCGTAACATTAAGTAACAAAATGATGGCTAATATTTTCTCATAGAAAGGCCTGACGTGAAATGTAGACATTCTTATGCTAGGGCCTGAGCTTCTCTTTCTAAGTCCTATGATACTTTCACACAAGAAGTTTAAGTAAATAATGATTTAGAAAACCAAATGAATGTAAAAATTTAGGATTTCCTGTCTTTGATGATATAAAATTACTAATTTCTAATATGCAACTAAGAAATACTAATGATAACAAGATCAGTATTATAGTAGAGATTAAAATATTTTCTTCAATACATGAAACATAGTGACTTTCTGGAAAATTTTAGGACAAAGTCCTAAAAAAAAGAATCTGTAAGAAATAATGTGATGGAATATGTAAAATTAACAATTTTATTTATAATTATGATTTGCAGCTTTTCATTCTTCTCACTATTTACTAATAAAAATTCTGATTGAAATCTATTGTATTTATTGATGAAACCCTCAAGTTCCATTATATAAATACTAGAAAAATCAGTATAATTTTCAAATTCTAATGCTCTTTGAAAGTTTCTCCTCAGTGAAAGTCAATGTTCAGTTCATATATAAAGAACAACTCTGGAAAGTTTCATAGTTAAGGATACAGAAGATTTTAATACATCAGAAAGTTGTGGAGATGGTATTAGGTGCTATTCCTTGTTTCCTCTGGTTTGCAATGACATCACCATAATACCCTAGTGTCTGGGGCAGCCCTCGGGATTCAAGATACTGGCATTTATTCCATAAAGATGCTTATTTGACTAGTTTATATTGTGCTAAAATGTCTTAATGTCTCAAATTCATACATGAATCAGTTTTTTAAAATATATTTTTATTGTTGACAGTATTAAATGTCTCCTTTCCCTCCCTCCTTTGTTACCCTCCATCTAGCCCCTACCTATCTTCTCAGGGCTTCCCCACCCTATTGCTCATGTCCATGGGCAATGCATATCTATATCTATCTATATATATAAAAGTTTAAGTGACCATTGCGACCGAACAACTGAACTAGTTGACCAGTTGCTTTGATGCACATTGACCACCCAGGGGCAGATACTTAATTCAGGAGCTTCCCCCTAGTGGTCAGTGACCTCCCAAAGCCAACCTCCCTCAGTCCCTTCCCCCAGCTGGCTGGCCCTGATCACCCTGATGGAGACTGGGCAAGATGGCCCTGATCGGCCCCAATCACTGGCCAGGCCTAAAGACTCCACCTATGTACAGCTTTGTGCACTAGGCCTCTAGTCCTAATATATAAAAACCCAGGGTCCATAACGACTATCTGAAGGCTCGACCAAACACTGGAAGTCAGTCCTGCAGTCAGTGCTGGGTTTCCGTGGTGACCCAGCACTGATTGCTGAGGTGGCTGCAGATCAGGCATGGAGAGAGGCCCGAAGAGAGGCAGGATCTGATCTGCAGCCACCATGCAGCTATTGATCAGCTGTTGCCTCTCTCTGGGCTTCACTAGCAGCCACGCCTCTGTTTCTCTCTAGGCCTCCTTGAGGGCTGCTGATCAGCCCCACCTCTCTGACCAGACCTAGAGATATGCCCAGAGATGCTGACTGGCATAGAAACTGACCAATCAAAACCAAATCTGGGTGAACTTCGAGGAGTCAACAGCTGCCTAGGAGGCAGAGCTGACTGACATAGAAACCGACCAATCAGAACCAAATTGGTTGGCAGGGGAGGGCAGTTAGGGGCAATCAGGCAGGCATGCAGAGGCAGTTAGGGATGATCAGGCAGGAAAGCAGGTGAGTGATTAGGAGTCCCAGATTATGAGAGGGATGTCTGTCTATGGGATCCGGCCTAAACTGGCAGTTGGACATTTCCCAAGGGGTCCCTGATTGGAGAGGGTGCAGGCTGGGCTGAGGATACCCCCTCCCTCCGTGCATGAATTTCATGCACTGGGCCACTAGTAAGTATATAAGTTCTTTGGTTTATCTTTCCTTGGTCCCTACCCCCAAATCAAGACATCAACACATAAGAAACAATTTGGAATCCTCCCTGCACTTACTTCTCCTTTCAGCCATCTCAGCCCTGGTCAGGTAGAAGTAGAATTGGTCCAGCTTATCAGGCTGCTCCTCCAGGGGTTTCTGCACCCAGAAGACAGACCTGAGCTTTGCAGCCTCCCTCAGGGCCTCCCACTTCTCCATCAGGGCAAAGAGCTCAGTGAAGGACTTGTGATACCCATCTCGCAGCATGTCCACGCAGATGTTCTTCTTGTATGAGTTCCGGTAACTGGGATGAGAATCAGAACATTCAAAATGTTATTTTCATTCTTGAAGTCTATGCAGTGTTTTTATCCTATAATAATGAAAGGTTGAATCATGCTGCCCCTCCCCCCCTTTTTTTCCTCAGTGAAAGCACTGAAAACTAACCACTGAACAACTTCAGTTTAATGAAAAATGCCAGGAGCAATCTAAACTCAGTAGTTTTAATAAAAATACATTATAAATATATCAATTCTAAAGCTGAGCTCCCTTTGATATGGACAAACATGCTAGGTAGTTGACTGATGTCTTAGTCTGTTTGAGCTGCTGTAACAAAATATTCTGAGTAGCTTATCTACAAAAGAAATTTATCGCTCATAGTTCTGGAGGCTAGAAGTTCAAGATCAAGGCATCAGTGTGGTTTGTGCTGGTCCCTTTTAGCTGTGTTGGGCCCTCACATAGTGGAAGGGGCTAGGGATCTCTCTGGAACCTCTAAGTTACTAATTCCATTCATGAGGTATCTACCCATGACCTGAGCACCTCCCAAAGCCCCTCTTTACTACCACTTTCAGAGATTAGGATTTCAACATATGAATTTGGACACCAAACATTCCAGACCATGGCAATTGATGACATCCAAAAGCACTTGATATAACAGACTTTTACCAAAACAAAAAAACCAATAACCCGAGCAAACAAACAAAAAAATGTGAAATATTTTAATATCAAAGCATGCAGTCTAGAGTAAATAGTTTCACTGTATATTATGGAGGCTTGTTCATTCATTCATTCATTCATTCATTCATGCAGAATATGTTTTTTGAAAGGAGTATTCTATTTACTTATTCAAAAAATTGCTATTGAGGTTCCTGCTAAGCACCAACCACTGTTCTAGACCATTTAGGTTCAATACTCTGGGGAGTTTGTACTCTTATGGGATAAAACGATCTATATAATAAAAGGGTAATATGCAAATGGTTGGGAGGCCCTCATGCATAATGACCAATCAGCAGGCTGCATGCACAGCAGGCTGCATGCACAGCAGGTACAGGCAGGCGGAGACTTGCATCATGCCATTATAATCCATCACCAGGAGGCCAGGGGCCCAGTGGAGTCCTTTGCATGCTTTATTGGGGTCCAGAGGCCCAGCCCGGAGGTATGGCCTGGTGGAGGCCTCCATGTGGCAAGGCCTAGGGGTCCCACAGCTCTGCATGGCATCAAGGCAGGACCTCCAGCTCCGGCCTACCTCTTTGGGGCAATCCATCCAGGAGCCCTGAATGGGTGGGTGGGTCCTATCTCTTTGGGGCAATGGATCATGGGGCTCCTGCACTGTGACACAGGTCAGGCCAGGCTTGTGGACCCCTCCCTCCCCAAGTGCACAAATTTCATACATCAGGCCACTAGTCAACAAATAAACAAATAATAAATAATTTCAGATGCAAATTGCCATGCATGAAATAGGATGTAAAAAGATGAATATTTTAGATTCTTCTTTTTAATAAATAGAAGACATATAATAATATTTAAATATTTAGAACAACTGATTTGATGTGATACTACTTGCAATAAAAATTTCCGTGTGACCCTGGCTAGTTTGGCTCAGGGGATAGAGCATTGGCCTTAAGACTGCAGGGTCCCAGGTTCTATTCCAATCAAGGGCACATGCCAGGTTGTGGGCTCAATGCCCAGTAGGGGGTGTGCAGGAGGCATCCAATCAATGATTCTCTCTCATCATTGATGTTTCTATTTCTCCCTCTCCCTTCCTCTCTGAAATCAATAAGAATATATATATATATATATATATATATATATATATATATATATAAAATTTCTGTGTGGAGTGGAAATAGACTAGAATTAGTTAAAACACCCAAAGTCTGGGCCAGAACACCCAGGACTACAAAATCCCCCTGAACCTAATTTCTTGTCATCTGTGAAGTGTGCATATTAATATATGCCATACCTTCATGGCAGGAGAAAATAACATATTTGAGTTCCTGCCTTCTAATCATGAGGGAGTAGGGAGAGGATGCAAGCCCATGTCCTCTCTCCTGCCCTCCCCACAATGCCTTAGGAAGGGGAGAATGCTAATGGCTATTGTGTGGACTGCCCACTGGGGACAGGAGGAGGACACAGTTACACCTCTGAGAATAAGAAGCACTGAGGAGGGACGGAGGGAGTCAGGTCAATATATTTCCAGAGCTGATGGAAAAGGGTGGATCGTGTGCATCAGAGATGGACATCTGTATAGACCCCCACAGGTTAGGAAAACATTCAATGACAAGAAAGAGAAAACTGGCCTCTCATTGCCTTCAACAGGAGAGGCTTATGTTTCTCACAGCACAAGACGCCTAAAAGTAGGCTGCTACTGGCCTTGGTGCAGTGGTAAGAACCTTATTTTAACCTTTCTTTCATGCTTGTCCCCTGCTGGTCGCTGGAGGAGTTCTCCAACTCCCAACGGTCATTTCCACCTTCAAAGCCGTAGAAAAGGGGAGGATGGGATGGCAGCAGCTGTGTCTTTTCCTATTACTGGGGAAAAGAGAAACAGTTGTGCAACTACTAAAAGGTGTCCACTTTGGTTCCACTGGCCAGAACCCTGTCCCACGGACATCCTTGCTATAAGGAGACTAGAAAAACAAAGGTTCTGCCTGTTCTAGGGCACCTTGCTACCCTAGACAAAACTAGAGTTATGCTGGCAAAGCAGGGAGAAATGGATACAGAGAGGCAAAGCCACTGTCTATCACAAGGTCCTAGACCAAGATCTGGAAGTGAACGCTGACAAACCCTGGTGCTCAGGGATGCCGGATAAAGCCGGGCCAGATGCCCAGTTTAATTGAAATGTCATACAATGGATCTGAGGGAAATGAAGGAGATAAATAGAAGCAGGTGGATTCAACGCATAGTTAGGAGAGAAAAATAGTGATTATTCGATCAGTGAATGAATGTTAAGGGTGATAGGAAGAGAGGAGCTAAGATGACATCAGGTTTTTGGAGGGGTAATTTGCTGAAGAGAACACAAAAGGATGAACAGTTTGGGGGGGAAATTATGAATTTGAATTCAGATAACTTGCGATTGAGGAGCCTAACAGAATATCCAACGGGTACCCCTAAAGAGAGTTTTAGGGTGGCATAGAAGGTCTGAGAGAACAAGGGGCTAGAAACCCAACCAGGCTTCAAACAAGCACTGGCACAAATGTAGGTCTGTGACTGAGCTGCCAGCATGTTTTCCTGTGAGTGAGGAGAGCATTCTGGAGCAGAAATAAAGACTAGTATATATGAACAAAAATTAGACTATTCATTTTAAACAATTAAAAACAAGCACTAGACAAGGCCATCTCAGTTCTAATCTCACCTGGGACAGAGATGGAGAGAAGCACCCTCTGGTCCATTTCCCTGCCCTGGAAGGTGAGGCTGACTGGGTTGGACTGGGTCCGCCCAGAATGCCAAGAACTTTGGAAACGGCTCATCCCACATTGTGTGTCCTCTCGGTTGGACTGATTTCAGACTCCCTGGGCACAGGTGGATCAGTGACTCCAATTAAGCCACTGCCCCTTCTCCCAGGATTTTGAAAGTTGAGGTAAGAAGCACAAAAGTGTAGAAGGTTGTTGGAGCTCAAACCACCTGGCAGCAACATCCCGATGGGAGTCTCAGTAGGTCTTGCTACCTAGACCCATTTAGGATTCAAGGGTATCAGGTCTTGCCTTTTTATTTTATTTATTTATTTTTTGAGCCAGTTCTCCTCTAAATTCAGCAAACTACCTGCCAATAAAATCATTTCCGCTTTATTTAGTCAGAATTAGTTTCTGCTGACTCTGACCAAAGAACACAAAACTGATTCAGAAAGGACTGGAGTAAACTTGTTTCCAAGACATCTTTCAACCTCAAAATATCCACAACATGTAACTAAAAACAACTTTTAAAATTTCAAGTACATTTTTAAAATAGACCATTCTTTGCAAAAGACATTTCAAATAGAATAATATTTCAGAATACATGTTACTACTCTAATAGCATCTCTATTTTATATTCATTTGTGTATACACACGTATACGGGTCATTCTTTAAGTCTTATTACTAATATTTGAGAGCAAAAAAAGAGCAATTATAGTGATTTGCTAACTAGGTTCTTATTTATACTTTACGAGAGGTCCAATACACAAAATTCGTACAAGAGTAGGCCTTCCTTCCCCCAGCTGCTGGCACCTGGGACCCTGGTTTCCCTCTAGACCTGGCTTCATCCAGAAGGACGTCCGGTCTAATTAGCATATTATGCTTTTATTATTATAGACACTTAATGCAAATAATTTCTTTTAACTGCAAAATTTTTCATTTATCACAGCAAACTGGCTGGGTATCTGAAAATAAAAATATATGTTAATTTCCACCATTACATTATATTTGGACTTATCAGGATTTATATTTCATAACAGACAACCACAGCCAAAGTTCACTCCCTTTATGGAGAGGAATTTTAAAAAAACAAAACAAAAAATAAATAGAAATATAAATGGAATGCAAATTCATTATTTATTTCACTTGGACATGAAGTGATTAGTCTCTGGTTTCATTTACATATTAAAACAAATATTAGTTTAAGTTAAAATATGTCCTTTCTAAATATCAGGAGAAGAAAAATTTCCTTGACCCTGAAGTCACTATACTGAAAGTCGAGGATTCTGGAAGAATTTATGGAGAGATCTGGTCATGTGGAATTTGGGAAAGTTGTCCTGACGGGAAGCATGCTGTCCATGGAAGCAGAGGTAACGACATTCATGGGTGTGCTGGGCATCTGTCAATCATTGGCCGAAGGAAGACCTCTGCCACTGCAGACACCTGAGGCTGCCCTAGGCTGAGGGATGTGCTGGGGAGAATGGATTTAAAGAATTAAGCAGTCATGCATTTAACATGGACTATGTTACTGCTAGTCAAAGACATTATTCATTAGAGATTATATGTAAATATTCTGAATTTACATCCAAATTTCCTTAAAAAATTCTAAAATTAAACAATTCTGTGGACCGGCATAAA